CTAGCTAAGTGAAAGAAAAGCCAAAACAATTGCATGGTTTCCAGTGTGATGATAACTGAGCTGTATAGGTTTAGATTCGATTAATTATGGACAACCAAATATCGCTAATAACAAAACCGATATCTTGATGTACTAAAGCGTATTTGTGAATTCCTATACCTTTTCTGTCTTGGCCACTGTCTTGGCTTTCTAGTCACGCCACTCAAACTGTGAATACTGGTTTTTGTGTTAGCCTTTTCACACTAAGTCTCAGTTATTGTTTATTTTTCCAAAAAAATATCCTCACTTTGATATTGACTAAAGGAGAATGTGATTCCACTCCACACCTCAAATCATGCCAACATCCACAGTCCCAGGATTGATTGGAATTTTTCGTTATTCAAACGTTATTATTATTCAAACGGGGCCCTTATTCGCGTGAGTACTGTACGTCAAATTTGCTTGATACGCAATATTTCTTAGGGAAAAACATATCTGCGATTTGGTTTGTAAGTGTTGGGCGCTCTTGTATTTGACCGATGCTTCCGTTGACGCAAAGTTTTGCAAACTTCAAGAAGTTTTCTTTTTTACAAATGAACAACAGCAAAAACAATAATAACAATAATACGCAGCACATTATTGTGCTGCGTATTTTCTGTCTTGGCCACTGTCTTGGCTTTCTAGTCACGCCACTCAAACTGTGAATACTGGTTTTTGTGTTAGCCTTTTCACACTAAGTCTCAGTTATTGTTTATTTTTCCAAAAGTCAGCAACAACTTTTCCTATCTAAATATATAAGTATTTCCATGTTTGAATACTCTGCAAATATTATCTTCTGAAAACGAATGAAGCAACTCGAAACGTCGAGACATTCTCAACAAAAAACAACAGTTCTCTTCAGAACTATAGTATATCACAAGCATTAATATAATTATTATTACTTCAAACAATGCACAATTATACACACGTGCCAGTAGTGGCTCCAGAAACATGCCAACAGAGGGGCAACAAGTCCAACACGGGTCCCGAAACAAGGGGACAAGGCTCGATCAGGGTCTCAGCATAATCCCTGGGTTTGCATTGAGAGTTTTTTTAGGACTTAGTGTGGCCCAAGGGTTTTAGACCACAATTGTTTAGGGGAGATTGTTTTGCCAAGAAAAATAACGTTTGGATAGGAAAATTAAAGATAGGACGTTCTCGTCACGGCATCGGACGACGAAGGATGGCGAGGGGATACTATGCTCAATTCTTCATTTTGTTTAGTTTTATTTCTAATTTTAACTGATAGCCATGCCTTCAAGTCTCACTACACAGCTTTGTTGTTTATTAGTATTTTGCCTTTTAATTTACCATATTTATTGGAATAAAACGGCTACGTAGGCCTATATACTGAAAGAAACGCCATTAATTTTACCGTACATGTCGGACTGCAACACATAAATACCGTCAAAATGTGTTATTGCGTGATCATAAAAACATATTGATCCCAACCAAGTTTAAAAATGAATTAAGAGAATGTGTTGAGAATGATGTTGTATATTAATGTTTGCGGTACACCACGTAGATAGTTCTGAAAATGGACTGTTGTTGGTTGAGAGTGTCACGACGTTTCCATTAGGTTGCTTCAGTTGTCTTCAGGAGAATCAGGAGAACAATATCTTCAGAAACTCCAAAACAGGGAAACATTTATATGTTTGGGTAGTGAGACTTGTTGCTGATTGGAAAACTAAACAATAACTGAGACTAGTGTGAAAATGCTATAAAAAAAAAAAGCCAGTACAGTCTGTGCATGAGGGTGGGACGTGGTTAAAGCCAAGACAGTGGTATTGTTTCTAGCTTGTGAAAGGAAAGTAAAAAAATCGCATAGTTTCCAGTGTGGCGGGAAAATGTTTTGCTTGGTTTAGGTCCGATTAAACATGGACAACCAAATATCACTGAGGATAAATCCCACTGTATCGTGTTTCTGAATTTCTGTAGCTTTTCTGGTCCGTCTGGAATGCCAAGATGGTACAATGGCTAACAGTTCGGTTTTATTTAAACATACAAGATGTTGTTCTTTGTGGGAGTGCATGGTTATAGATGACCTGTGTTGTTCCCTTCTTCTAGCGTGGCCTTGGTGTTCTTGTACGGAGTACAAGACTCTGTGGCCTTGAAACTTATACGAAGATCACGTCCTGATTCACCAATGTAAACTTTTCACATATTCGCGTGGATATCCGATTAACTCCTGGCTAGCTTTGTGCTGGTGGTTTATCCTTTGTGTGTTTGAAGAGTCTGAGATAGTTTTTTTGGATGCACTATAACACTTTAATATTGGCTTGTTGTAGAATGCGTTGAATACGATGTGAATTCTGTTTCATGGTAAACATACAGACTTTCTAGATTTCGTATTATCTTGCCTTGATGCGTTTGGTTATGTTTATGTCTCTTGTGTGAAAACCGTTCCGTTTCAGAGCTTCTTTAACATGTTTGGTCACTGATACTGTGTGCTCTTCTGATGAGTGTGTTTCTAGATCACCTGAGAATTCAGGTGATCTAGAAAATCACCTAGGTATACCTTACTATGCTGTCAAATGATTACCGTAATGTGTCATCAACGTATCGGAGCCAAAGTTTTGTTTGCCGGGTGGCAGAATGAAGAGCTAGCTGTTCGAATTCTTCGAGAAAGATGTTGGCAATGACTGGGGATAAAGGTGATCCCATGGCCTTGCCTTCTGTTTGCTCAAATAATTGGGGTGCCATTTAAAACTGATGGACAGTATACACAGTAAAGGTAATTCGTGAATCTGCTATGGGTTGAGTGCTGTTCTTTTTGCTGGAGATTAGGGTCCCATTGTAGATAATGTTTGGCTACAACACAAGCCTCCTTTCCGGTATATTTTTGAATAATGGCTTGATGTCGAAGCTGAGGAGGTGTCCGTTGATTCGAGGTAAACATCTTGGATCGTCTTTGCGAATTGTTTTGAATTGGTGACATGATGACCGGTGTTGCCTACCAGTGGATACAGTAACCGTGCAAGCTATGGTTACGTTTGGGATCCTCTAGAAGAAACGATGGGCAGCAATGGAATGTCCGTTTTGTGGATTTTCGGTTGTCCAAATAGTCTGGGGCATATGGATGCTGAAGGTCGAAGTTGGTGGTAAGGTGTCTCCTAAAGTGCCTCCAAACGATGTAGTTTTTAATGGTCTGGGTATTATTTTCAGGTTTATTAACAAAGTCAATATTAGGCCAACTTGATTATTAATAGACGTTGTCAGTGGCCAGATGCATGCACTTACTACGATTAATGCAGATTAAAGTGAAGAAGTGAGTCCAAGCTGTAATTAATGGGGCGCAAAGAGCATCCTACAGGGTACAGGGACAAAAGCCCCTGAAAAAACAATCAGCGATGAAGTTGTTATATTAGAGAAAGGACAATTTATATTTGTCAGGCTTTTATACATGCATATGGATTGCACGATATCCAGAGATTTATCTATGCATTGCTTTATTATATTTTTAAAAGGAGGCGGGCCACAGACTACACTGTTTCAAGTAAGGCCAAAGAAAATTAATTGTTTGTTTGTCCTTCTTTTTTCAAAATTGATAAATAAAGGCGGGTGGAAAAAGTTTTTTATTATTAACTTTTTTTAAGATACTCATCACATGGAATAAAAATAACCCACAGAGGCCTAGAATGGTAATATCTTACATCAGACAATTTTAGACTAATTTGTAGTTCATCTGGCAAAAAATAAAGATAAATTCACTTTTTTTAATTTGTAAAGAAAAAAGCTAAAAAAGAGAACTTTTTTAATCGAGAGTATAATTATATTACGCTGTGTGTAGAAACACTTTGAGAAACAGGGTTTTAAATACAATGACACAGTGTTAAAATGAACAAATAATACAATGAAGACAATCATTTCCTTATAAACGTTTATTTATGATGATATGACCTAATGATAGACTACGGGGAATACGTGAAATAGGTAACATGGGAACGGGCATGGAAAGCGCCTCGCCAATTTGTTTTTTTAAGCGCCGCACTCGAATAAGTGCCGCACTCAAATACGCGCCGCACTGAAGCCTCCAAAAATTTTATAAGCGCCGCGGCGCTTATTAGAGGATTTACGGTACATATTCTTACAATTGTTACATTCATTATTAGTAATATAATACTAATAATTATTTTAACAATTGTGATTAAATACAAAAATAAAACCGATAAAAAATATAGCTTCAGATGAGAAAAGGTTTGAAAAGAGATGCTTTGGCCTACTTATTTACTAAATTGTGGGTGCCATAAAAAAAAGAAATATTTATATTGATGACTTTGTTACATTAAAAGAAAATTGATTGATGTTAATTGTCCAAAAACATTATTATCCAGTTTAATAAAATATTAATTAAAATATAATGAAAAAACAACAACAATTGCAGTCCATCTGTGAGATATGATATGCATGTATAGACAATGTATTGGGGATAACGGTGAATAATAGCAGCATCAACATCATCATCATTACTAACATCACAATTATTAACATCAACAGCATGAACACCATTTTCATCATCATCATCATCATCATCATCATCATCATCATCAACATCAATATCATCATCATTATCATCACATCATCACCACCCCACCACCATATCATTATCATTATCTTCATCGTCAACATCACCACTACCACCACCACCACCACCACCATTATCCTCATCATAATGACCATCATCATTAACATCATAAATCCCCACCACCATCATCATCATCATCATCATCATTCCCCTGACTTCCACCACGATAACAACCCACCACCACCGTCACCATTATTAACTCTCGCTATTCTATTAACTAAAGAGCGAATAAAATAGTAAAACCAAAATATCAAATGAAAATAAGAATGGAGATGACCAAAATAAGTTGTAGGCCTACCGGTAAGCTTATACGCCTTTACTGGTTGGTATTGAGTAAATGTAACTACGCTAACTGCTGCTCTACTGTACCTTCCTTTTGTAAATTTATAAATTACAGGCAACAACGGAAAAGGAAATCAGTAACGCATAGTGCGTATTTACATTCACAGACGATAACTTCAGCTGCAAGTTTCCAAGATGGGACTACGAAGTTTAGAATTGATTTGCATGTTTACTATATTTGGTGAGTAGAAACTAGAAATTAAAGAAAGAGTGTACTTTGAGGTAATACATTTGTCATTTTGATTACGTGTGTCAATTACCTACGACGAAATAATAATGATTGTAATTACATAGGCCTACCACCAGTCTGGATAAAGGCACAGGCAGTGAACTTTGTGTGCATGGTTAAATTACTAAGAAAATGAAAAGTTGTAACAGTATAAATTAACGTTATTTTTTTAAAATATTATTTACTTCATCAACGATTGATTTTTTTTAAATTTTTTTTTTCGAGATTTACTAATTATCTATGGGTAAGCCATAAGCTACAGGCTTAACAAAATAGTAGGCCTGTAGCTTATGTCTTGCTTTTGTGATTTTGTTTGGCGTATGGACGTATAGAACCGACCACTTTACCACATTATTTCTGAAAAAAACCTTTATAATGTCTATATTTTCTCCTTTGTTTATAATCATACCGGTATTTCACCCTTCTCCTGGCTTTAGAGCCACCGTTGGGATCTGAACTCGACATGTTGTGCCCTGCTTTTTATCTACCAATTTTAAGAATTATCTGATAGCCTTCGTTATTAAGTGGCCTGGCCTTAGGACAGCTTTATGCTTTTCAGAATGTCATTAAACATATTTTTGATATTCTGTTCTATTCTATTTTATTGTTAAGTTGTCCTGATCTACATTCAGCTGATTCTCAAACGTATAAATAGGGTCCAACCTTCAACTTCCCCAGGATACACGAGAAATAAGCATTAGTGCCATTGTTTAATAGATTAATGACGTAAAGTTGATGAAATTAACTAGTTAATATTTGACCTTATCTGTTCGGAATATCCCACGTGATGCTATGTGTATGCCAATAACCTTCATCTAGAATATAGTACTATAACTACGTTAAGTAATTTCTAAAGTTTTATTTCGAAAATGGCATGAAACACAATTCTATCTAATAATAGCCGTTTATAACAATTAATGAAATTACGCAAACAAGGTTTCTATGATGCTAAATTTGTAGATGTGTAAGTGAATGACGTGCAGCTAGCTAATGCAAACGCTGGACTTGTTTTGATGTTTATTATGCAGGAAATACTCGGCTAAGTAACTCCAACTTATCGCTGTTTGACAGGATACCGAAATTAGAAATTTCCTTATTTAATATTTTAGTATTTATTGCAAAGGCGAATCTAAAAATATGTACTATATTATAAACTTATTATTTTATAAAGAAAAGGTTTATTATGATTATTATTATCATTATTATTATTATTATTATTATTATTATTATTATTATTATTATTATTATTATTATATTATCATTAATTATCGTTAAGTAAAGTAGTTCACTCATGAAATTGGTCTATTTGATTGTTTAACGTATCTTAATGTGCCTTGTGTAATAGTATTATTATTATACACATAGTCTCCTTTTTCCGAAAATATTTGATTGAGGCCTACATAGTATGATTATACGTCAGATAGGGCAAAACCTCATTCAAAGTTTCATGACGTGAACACCTATCGACATAACAATAATCTATATGATATATATATATATATATATATATATACAATATATATGTGACAGATAAAATGATCTATATGACAATAATCTATATATTATATTATATATATATGTGTGTGTGTGTGTGGGGGGGGGGTGTGTGTGGGTGTGTGTGTGTGTGATAGATTAAAAAAAATTAAATAAACCGTATTTTCCTATCGGGATTCGAACCCAAGACGTTCCGATTACCTTACAGATACTCTACCATTCTACCAACTGGTCTATGAGGCCAAGTGGTATATATACACCCTTTGGATTGTACCATTAGGACACGTTTTTCCTTAAGGTATAGCGTAATCCGCAATGAATAATAGTAAATCACATGAAAGAACTTTGGTATGGAGATACACATCCACTGTTGTTAATTAAGGATGAAAATAAATATTTCAGAAAAACGTACTGTATGTTGTATAATATATATGATGCGTATGGTGTGCAGCACGCACAGACACTTTAAACCCTCGACGCGCCAACGAGTTAGCTAAATGTCCACCAATTTTGTGTAAGAAGTATCTGTGATTTGCCCATTGGCGTGATAATGATGTCATATCACATACAGTAGGCATAACTTTATGTGAACCCAGTCTTACTAATAATACGCACTCGCTAGCCTTTGGATTGTACGCGCAAATACGTCAGCTGTACAGAATAGCACTTTTCACAATCATGACTTGACTTACTATCAGTTGTTAACTCGCCGTTCCAATTAATGTTCTTTTAATTTGTGACTGTGACGGATATACATATAATTAATACACTGAAATACACATGTGCACCCGACTAAAAGTTTTTAACATGTCGGGTCCTAATTTGCCACAAATATAGCGTATTATGAAGAATCCTCCAGAATAGTGGCGCTTTCTATTATTCAATATTGAAAATATATTACTGCATTTTTTATTTTACATATGTTTCTAGAATATATTATATATTAATTGACAGAGATATATAAACTTGTTTACTTCATCTTGTATTCTACTAGAAATCGTTTTCGTATAACCACTTGATGATTTTAGTCAGCTTTTCTGACGAAATATTTGTAGTGGAATAAAAGTATGAAATAAACAAGTTGATATATTTTCTGTGAATTATTTAGTTCTACTTCGGTACTGATCATTCTACTCCTGATAATCTTGGATCATATGTTAGTTTATTATATTCTATATGTATATGCCTATTTTTTGTAAGTCTCCGATATTATATATAGGCCTAGGCCTACGTGAGTATGTGGCGCAACTAAGGATTATGACGATGATTTTGAAAATGATGATTGGGTGATGATTATGAAACTGATGATAATAATGATGATTGTAATCATAATTGTATGGTATTGTCTACTTTCCAGATGTTCTTTATGATATTCACAGTATCTGTCGTTGTCACTGACACTTCCTCCTACGCTTGTATGTATTTCCCTTTTTGCATTTGTATCATCGGCACAATCTTACAATTAACTGTTTGTATTTCTATTTCATGACAGCTCGACCCAGTTTTTTGTTATCAAGGATTTGGAAGGTTATTACATAAGTTATTTCATTTTTAATTGCTATTTGTTGGACACACCGTTGATAGAACCCCACCTCCTTTTCCGATCAGGTTTAGAGTCAATGCCCTACGATATATTACAAAGATATACTTTAGCATCTTAGTATATTTATTACTTTTCTATAATGTTCAACTTAAGTACGCCTTATATAAGCAAATATTGTTCTTTATCTTTTACATACATTACATACCCAGTGACTGGGTACCTGGTACGATATGTATTGGCCATGGTAGTACTGTAATGAAATTGGACTAGTAATAGCGAATTATGAATTACATGGACGGTCTAGTTACACTCCTCAGGGAGAAAAAAGATCAGTTTCATATTGTGCGGGACTTATTTAATATTATATCAAGGGCGTGTAGTAAAAACAGAAATACAAAATGCATGACAATCAAAACATTCTGACATTTATGTAAATCCATGTATATGAAGCGTTAAAACAAAATAATTATGACAATTGACGAAGCACGTAGAATACACTGTATTTAATTCTGAAGATTTTTGGCCAGGCCTCCTGGCCTTCATCAGCTTTACTGAGTATACAGAATTGGCTGATAATGCACTGAATACAACCTGTTTCATCCAATTCTGTACACGCAGTAAAGCTGATGAAGGCCATAAGAATAAAATCCATGTTATCAAATATTAATTTTAACGAGATTTACTTTAACAGCTGTTTCAGGTTAGCAGGCACAGTTGAATCAAAACCAAGAGCAGGCTTACATAATATAAATAGCAAATCCAGTATAAATATTTGTTAAAATATTAGCCTACAATAAAGTAGGTAATAGGCCTAACGGTAATAAATGAACTAATTTTGAAACTATTACTGGTTACTTCAAAACAAATTAAATAATAACTTGAAGGAGGAAAAATGCATGTAGAATATACATAATTAAAAAATGAAATAATAATATAATTGATGATGAAGATAGTAACAATGATGATGGTGGAAATATCAATAAATATTAACAACTTAGAGACTGACTTTTGATTACTGCATGTTGTTTTCAGATTTGATCGATTAAGCTGTTCTTAGCTTTCGCTGTTCCCACGATGCTTATTCAGCAAACTGATTAGGTACCGGTAATCCTTACTTACCATGTGATACTCCGAAAGGAGTGGTCACATGACAGCTAATCATTAATGAATTATGATTTTCCTTTTTATTTTTACGCCGTAGAATAATAATAATGATAATCATATAATAATAATAATGTTGATGATGGTGATGACGATAACGATAACAGTGATGATGATAATAAATAATAAAAATGTTACACACAAATTGTTTTATACTAAAATAATTGCATAATATAGTATAAAACAATGTCAACGTTTAAGAGTAGTTATACAAAACTATCGTATCCTTCGAAATAATTCTAAAATAATAAAAAAGATAAATTAAAAGCAATAAAAATGAAAAAGCATAGAGTATGTTATTTATTATTACTTTTAAAAAATACATTTTGTTTTCTTACTTCTCTTCTTCTCTTTTTTACTCTTCTTTTTTTCTTATTTTGATAATTGAAAGCAAGTGTGGAAATAAATTAATGAAAGATGAATGAATAAAGAAAGGAATGAAAAAATGAATTAAATAATATATGATTTAACAAATAAATTAATTAATGTATGCATGGTGATGAATGAATGAATGAAATTATAAATGAATGAATGAGTGAGTGAGTAAACACATGAATCCCAGTCGTTGACTGTATAATATTTTATATAATGGTTCTATAATGCATTTTGTTTATATATATAGGCCTATATATATGCCTTATATAGGCTTATATATAAATCAAGATAGCCATTTTGTTTTCTTACTTCTCTTCTTCTTTTTTTTACTCTTCTTTTTTTCTTATTTTGATAATTGAAAGCAAATGTGGAAATAAATTAATGAAAGATGAATGAATAAAGAAAGGAATGAAAAAATGAATTAAATAATATATGATTTAACAAATAAATTAATTAATGTATGCATGGTGATGAATGAATGAATGAAATTATAAATGAATGAATGAGTGAGTGAGTAAACACATGAATCCCAGTCGTTGACTGTATAATATTTTATATAATGGTTCTATAATGCATTTTGTTTATATATATATAGGCCTATATATATGCCTTATATAGGCTTATATATAAATCAAGATAGCCGTTAACACTGTTAAATTATATATAAATCATCAAAGAAAGGTAAATACAATTACTTAATGATAACACAAACAATTACTTAATGATAATATAAAAAAAAATTGTAGACACCCATTGACAAAAAAAAAACTTATTAAAATTAGAAAAAATGCAAGAAGAACTTGAGCTTATCTACACAAACGAAGCGCGTGGTGCACAGGTGCGCTCTAGAGCCAGTGGTTAGAAAAGGGAGAGAAAAACACAAGATATTTTCTTGGCCTCGAAAAAGGAAGGGCAATGAAGAAACACATGAAAAAGCTAAAAAGAAAAATGGTAGTATAACTACGGAAATGAAAGAAATAATAATTGAAGAAGTAAACTTTTATAAAGAATTATACTTCAGTAAGAATATACAAGATACAATAATTTACAGTTACCTCGTTGACATAGACTTAAATATTCTTAATGAAGAACAAAATGCGATGCTTGGTTTAAAAGTGTCAACGGAAGAATGTAAACATGCTATTTTTAATATGAAACACAATTAGTCTCCGGGGCCTGATGGTCTAACAGTAGAATTTTATAGACAATTTTGGAAAGAAATAGAAACAATTATGTGTCAGGTAATTAATGAAGCATATGAATGTGGTGAGTTATCTCAGACACAGAAGAAGGGCATAATTACTTTATTATATAAAAAGGGGATCCAGATATCCTATCAAATTGGCGCCCAATCTGTCCTTTCAAACAGATTGCAAACAGTTTTAGGTCAACTTGTCGACAGCGATCAAAAAGGCTTTATAAAAAAAACAGACATATGGGTGACAATGTAAGACTAATTAGTGACTTAATTGAGTATAGCAATCAGTATAATACTGAGGGTGCTCTCATTTGCCTTGACTTTAAGAAAGCCTTTGACATTTTGTGTTTAATGTATTGAAGCGTTTTAAATTTAACAGGACATTCATTCAGTGTATATAAGTTTTATATAAAAACTCTAACAGTTGCATATCAACGGTTTCAACTCAGAATACTTTAAACTAGAGCAAGGTCTAAGACAGGGATGTCCTTTGTCCGCACTCCTCTTTATTTTAACTGGAGAGGTCTTTAATTTAACTGGAGAGGTGTTTATTTTAACTGGAGAGGTCTTAGCAACAAAGATAAGAGAAGAAAAAACAATTAAAGGAATAAAACTACCTGAAACTTATCAAGAATTAAAGATATGTCAAATGGCATATGATATAACCCTCTTTATGAAGGATGAACAAAGCATATCTTCTTTGTTCAAAACACTCAACATCTTCTGTGAAGTTTGTGGTCCTGAACTGAACAAAGAAAAGTGTGAAGGCTTATGGATTGGAGCGTCTAAATGTAAGACAGAGAAGCCTGGTGGCATTAAATGGCCAAATTGTCCAATAAAAATATTAGGTGTTTATATTGGGCATGACTACAAAATGTGTGTTGAAAGAAACTGGTCTGAGAAAATAGAAAAACTAAAAATCATCTTGGACAGATGAAAAGAACGGAAGTTAACATATTTCGGGAAAACCCTTATACTTAAATCACTCACTTTGTCAAATCTGGTGTATACAGCCAGTGTTGTTAATATACCAGAGTATGTACTTAAGCATTTAGGAAAAATTATATTGGAGTTTATATGGGATAGGAAAAAAGAAAAAATTAAACGAAAAACTTTGGTATTAAACTGTGAAGAAAGTTGAGTAAAAGCACTAGATTTTAGAATACAAAGGGACAGTCTCCTTAATGTCTGGGTAAAACGCTCGCTTAATGGAAGCCCGGACAACTGGAATGCAAATTCATTCTTTTACTTTAATAAATATGGCGAGAACAATCTAATCTTCCGAATGACCCTTGTAAATGTCAATACTGAGTACATAAAAAAACTACTACTACTGATGCGCCTAAAAATAGAAAAGAAATAGGAAACCAAGTCATCTGGGGAAATTTAAACATAACAAACAAAGGTAAATCCCTGTATTTTAAAGAATGGGTTAGTGCAGGTATAATATACATCAAAGACCTATTCTGTAAGGGTGTAATGTTAACCCCCAAGACAGTATATGAGAAAATTAAAACAAGTAATAATTGGATCTGTCAATTTTGGTTAATTAAGCAATGTATATCAAAACAGAGGCTTACTATCATGGAAACTAAACATAATGAAATCGAGGATACAGATCCAAATGGAGAGGAATTGATTACTATATTTAATACTAAAAAGAAGGAAAAAATTAAGATAAATAATTTTCTCATCTAAAACGTGTTCCGATATATTGGAAAACATCGTCGGAGCAAAACCCATATCACAATTAAAATGGGAACAAAAGTTTAATTTACAAAATGAGGTAGACTGGAAGTATATCTGGCAGTCTAAAGTAAAATATATAAAAGAGAGAAAATTGGCAGAATTTAACTTTAAACTGTTGCACAGAACGATTCCAACGGGAAAACGTTTATTACTCTGGAATATTGCCGATACAGAAATATGTAGATCATGAGAAAGTAGAGGACGAAGAACATTTGTTTTTCTCCTGTAAACGCTTAAATGGATTCTGGCAAAAAAAAAAACAATACATTCTGCGAAATTTATTAAGAAATATAAAAGTATCCTATCAAATTATTATGTTATGATCAACAGAATTAATGGATAATTATAATGTAACGAATCAGGTAATCACTATTGCTATGTATACCATTTTTAAAAACAGGTTGACATTGAAAATAGCAAATGTCGACAATAAATTGTTTTTAAAATTTAAGAGTGAATTAGAAATAAGAATAAAAATACTGTACGACGAGAAGTCGCCATTAAAAAATGGTGAAATATAGACTTGCTATAAAACATTGGAGAAAAATGATATATTGTATGAATAAAGGTAAAATAAAGATAAATTTACCCACACGAAAAAAAAATGAGTTTAAAGAAACAAATATAAGTGGTTTATAAAATAAATTGTAAGAAAATGAAAAGAGCGAAAATTGATTAATTGATTGATTATATTGTCTGTTGTGAGATGATAAACTTGAAAGTGGTCTAATTTACAATGTTTTATATCTTGAAAATGAATATGCAGATTTAATTTCCGCCGGAGTAATTTCATTGCACAATGTATATATACTGTCTCTTATACACATCTAGATGTGTATAAGAGACAGCATGAATCCCAGTCGTTGACTGTATAAT